GACCACGGGGGACATGATGGACACGGACACAGCCACGGAGGACACGATGGACACGGACACAGCCACGGAGGACACGATGAACACGGACACAGCCACGGAGGAAAGGACCACGGGGGACACGATGGACACGGACATAGCCACGGAGGACACGATGAACACGGACACAGCCACGGAGGACACGATGGACACGGACACAGCCACGGAGGACATGACGATGCACACTGTCACGGTGAGAGGCTGCTCCCAAGCATCTATTTACCTTCACCTTTAAAGAGGTCACCTGCCCATCAGTGACCTCCTCTCTGATTGGTTGCTTGAAGAAAACTCATCACAAAAACAATGTTGCCAATTAAAGAGTTTTTCACCTTTTACAAATGTGGTTATTTTTCGCACTTCGTTTGTTTACTTCCATAACAGAGTGACGTCACTATTAATACCCATATTACACTATTATTATGAGTTCAATATTTGATGTGTGTGCGATAGGGAAAGTGCTGAACCTGTATGTTTCTTGTTTGTTTCTTTGCCATGTGATCTCTGTTCTGTATCTACCACTGATTGTCCTGTTTATTATCTCGATGCCCAAGAGAGACAGTAAAGCTCTATCTAATCTATTAAATCCTTGCTACCGCTTCAACACATTGTACGTGACAGGCTAAGGGGCGGGACATCTCTAAGTGGTTGACCAATCACAACAGAGCCGGCCAGCTAACCAATCAGAGCAGACACTACATACTAATACATTTTGCATCAAGACTTTTCTATGTTTTTGTATTCTTCGTTCACCGTGCAGGAAGAGCAAGAATTCATGACACCACGAGGAGTAACAGAGGATGGTTCTCGGGGTGTTGTTTTCCTTCAGTGTGAGTTCTCCTGTTTGTATTATTTTAACTAAATGTGTGTTTGTCCTGCAGACCAGCTGACTCCGGGGAAAGGAGCCAGTAAACAGATCCTTCAGGGTGAGAATGAAGCATCTAATTACTGAGAAAACACAAAACACAACACGTCTGGAACATGGACTCTCATATTAAAGATTTAAATAGTTTGTTTTTTAACAGTGATAAAAGAATCCAACACAAAGAAGTCTTTTGATCCTGATGAGAAATAAAAACTGCTTTGTGACGTCGAAAAAATGTCAATTAATATTTTCATTCATAAACTTATTTAAATGATTAAATAGATATAATTAGGGTAACATTTAAAACATACTGTAATGCGTGTACACTGCTCCTTGACCACCAGGGGGCGCCGTCACACCATCATGTTGTTTAGCCCCCAGAAACACTGAGATGTCTCCATGTGGTTGTTTTTACAAAATAAACTGATTCTCCCGACACAAGCTTTTTTAATTATCTTTTCAAAAGTACCTGAACTAAAAACTAACATTCAGAACAGTTTGATTTCACTTTATGGTTCTCTTTATTTATAGTTTCTTATTTTCCTGTTTGAAGCTAATGCAACAACCTTCACTTTCTAATAAGCTCCATTAGCACTAATACTTGCCGGGGTACTGGTGTGTTTCTGAGTAAAATGGATGAATGAATAAAAGTGTCATGAAGTTTTAGAAACAAGGAGTCTGTCCTGATCAAAGTGTCTTCAGGTCACAACACAAACAGCAGGGCACATTCTGAAGTGTGTGTTATTATTAGTGTGTGTGTAATATAACGTGTGTTTGTGTGTGTGTGTAATATAACGTGTGTGTGTTCCAGGCGTGTTGCTGCACATCATCGCTGACACTCTGGGCAGTGTTGGAGTGATCACTCCAACACTGCCCAGAGTGTCAGCGATGATGTGCAGCAACACGCCTGGAACACACACACGTTATATTACACACACACACAAACACACGTTATATTACANTTTTATTTTGAGCATTGCACAATATCATCCAAACCATCGGAGGACAAGCAACTCATCAAACTGTGAGTAACACGAATATAGAGGAAAGACAACGAGTTAGAAATGTCTGTTTAGGCGTCTAGTGGCTAGATGGAAAATGAGGAAGGAAGCCAGGACATATGGGAGAAAACAATAACTAAAGGTCACAGAAAGTCAGAGTTTGTTTCGTACGCAGACGCAGAGGTGATTTAGAAGTGTTTTTACTGACCCTCTGGTAGCTCTCGGGCAGCTTCTGGTCCAGAGAGGGAGGCGTTCGCTGCATCAGGATCCCGATGGACTCCTTCAGTAATGGAATAACGCTGAGGAGACAGAGACACACTGAGCACGTGCAAACACTCACAGCTGGTTATGAGTGGTTCTGTTCAATGCAGCTCGAGCTGGAGTTCTGTGTGGGTTATTCACTTAATGTAGCTCAGATCCCACAGATTTCTAACTGGAGTTCGTTCGGTTTGAGTTCTTCTGTCTTTGTTCAGTTCATAGGCACATATCTGTGGATTGAGCTGGAGTTTGGGTTGAGTCGTTCTCTTTAATACAGATCAGATTATTGTGGAAAATCTGTAGAATATGTTGATTTTGAACCACGCTGAGAAAACAGACACACTGAGCACGTGCAAACACTCACAGCTGGTTCAAAAATCAAACCCTCACTTATAAGGATGAGCGTTTCTGTTCAACGCAGCTCAAGTTCAAGGGAAGAATCTGTGGAGTTTGGTGCGAGTCGTTCTCTTTAATACAGATCAGAACATTGGGAACAAATGTGTGGAATCTGTAGATTTGTAATAACAGTTTGCTGTGGATTAGCTCGGATTCTACAGATTTCTAACTGGAGTTTGGTTTGAGTTCTTCTCTCTTTGTTCAGTGTATAGGCACATGACTGTGGATTGAGTTCAGCAGTTTCCAGCTGCAGAGTTTGATGCCTGTGGTCGAGTGAAGGCCTCTCAGCTGACCACAGATCTGCTGACTGTTTCAATCTGCAGCTGCGATCACTGCCAGCCTATCAGACCACATCTACTCCATCTATCCCCGGGGCTTCTGGGAAATCTGACCGCTGCACATCTACTGCCGGACTCCAGAAGTATTCCAGCTCCATGCCGGTGGTTTTAGTCCATTAACTCCTGATTGCACATTCCTTACGTCAGAGCAAAACCATTTTCCAAAGCATCCGTCGGCTCTCAGATTGATTTCATTCCTCTGTGGAGAGCAGAAACCTGAGGGATAATCCATCAGTCCTGGGACTTTAGGCTTCCTTCTGAGGCTCCTTCTGCGGTGCGTTCAAGGAACCACTGACATACTAGAAACTTCAGACGTCACCGAAGTCTGTCTGATTATTCCTCAAAAAGGACGTTAGAGGTTTGAGTGTTCATCCTCTGGAGGTTAGAGTAACGTTAAAACATGTTCTGCTGGTCACTAAAGAGGCTCTCTGGGTTATACGAGTGAAGAGAGAAGGAGGAGGTTGGTTGGATGTTCTGTGGGTCCTTTGTGTGGAGGATTGAGTTTTAATTGATATATTAAGGTGTTAATAAAAGGTGTTTTAGTGAACATTTAAGATCCGATTGTTATTATAAATAGTTAAATAGAGTCTAGGGCAGGGGTGTCAAACTCAACTTCATCGCGGGCCACATTAGAATTATGGTTGAACTCAAAGGGCCGGTGGTAAATATACAATAATGTATTATTTTACATTATTTCCTCTGCATTGGATTATTATCAGATAGGGTAATAACTTCATAATTAACTTCGTCTGAAAGCAGAAGTCTAGGGAAAATAATTGCAAGTCTCTTCATCGCGCATGTCACAAAGTGAGATGCATTGTGGGAAGTGTAGTTTATGGGCAACGTGCTCCTGTAAAGCGGCACGTAACATTATAATAAACTCATTATATTCTTTGATAAATCTTGCGGGCCACATAAAATGAAGTGGCGGGCCGGATTTGGCCCCCGGGCCTTGAGTTTGACACCCCTGGTCTAGGGGAAAGATATAGTATGAGTACTATGTCTCTTGTTTATAAGACATATCAGAGAACACCAATATATAAGATGTCTCCTGACGTAAACAACGTGACGTCAGAGCTGTCTCTGCCGTCTGACGCTCTGATTGATTCTCAGGTTTCTGGAGGAATTATACAGAAATATTGTTTTCTGATCACTTTAACATTTTACAGGGAGCATCATTTTGGAGCAGATTTTAAGAGCTACATGTATTTGTTAAGAGCTACATGTATTTAAGAGCTACATGTATTTATTAAGAGCTACATGTATTTTTAAGAGCTCATGTATTTATTAAGAGCTACATGTATTTATTAAGAGCTACATGTATTTATTAAGAGCTCATTATTTATGTAAACTCGAGAACTTATTTTGTACATCGAGAATTATTTATTAAACTCGGAAATTATTTATTGTAACTCGAGAAGTTTATGTACATCAAGAATTATTTATGTAACTCGGAGAAATTCTATGTACCATCGAAAGAATTATTTATGTACATCCGAGAATTATTTATGTAACTCGAGCAAGTTATTTATGTAACTCCGAGAATATTTATGTACATCCGAGAATTATTTTATTGTAACTCGGAGAATTTATGCC